AAAGCTGAATAGTACTCCATGGTATACATATACCACATTTTATTAATCCACTCATGTATTGATGGACACTTGGGTTGTTTCCACATGTTTGCAATTGTGAATTGTGCTGCTATAAACATTCAGGTGTAGGTGTCTTTCTTTTTTTCTTTTTTTTGAGACAGAGTCTTGCTCTTTTTCCTGGGCTAGAGTGAGTGCCCTGGCGTCAGCCTAGCTCACAGCAACCTCAAACTCCTGGGCTCAAGCGATCCTCCTGCCTCACCCTGCCGAGTAGCTGGAACTACAGGCATGCGCCACCATGCCCGGCTAATTTCTTCTGTTTTTTTAAATTGCCCAGATAATTTTTTTTTTCTATTTTTAGTAGAGATGGGGTCTCACTTTTGCTAAACTGGTCTTGAACTCTTGAGCTCAAGCGATCCTCCCACCTCGGCCTCCCAGAGTGCTAGGATTACAGGCGTGAGCCATCATGCCCGGCCAAAGGTGTTTTTTTCTTAATAGGAGATATTTGAGCTCATATGAAAGCTGATGGAAAGCATCTAGTTGAGAGTGAGGGGTTGAATAAAAGAGAGAAGAAAATCTACTCAAAGTTTCTTAGAAGACAATAGGAGCTGGGATCCAGGTGCTTGGGGAAGAATTGGCCCCAGATACTGATCTACTAATTCATTCAGCATAGATGTGTTGGATAACACATTTATCCAAAGCATTTATGTGCCAGGCACAGGTATACAGCAGTGCCAGGACAGATGAGGTCCCTGATCTCATGGAGCTCCCATTCTTGTAGTGGGAGAAAGATAATAAACAAGTAAACAAATAAAGAGATAATTAGGCACAGTAAATGCCATGGAGAACATGAAAAGATTTTGTGATAGAGGGTAATGGGAGACTGCTCCAGCTGGGCATAAGGCAGGCTTCCCGATGACGTGTGAGTTAAGATTTGAACAAGAAGGAGCCAGCCTTTAAGAGCTGAGTGAAGAGCATCTCAGACAGAGGGAACATACAGTACAAAGGCGCTTAAGCTACTGTGAGCTTGTAGTGCTTGTGAGACAAAGACCAGTGTGTGGGGAACACAATAAAAACAGAGGGGCAGAGTAACCAAATCATATCAGAAAGAGAGACAGAGAACAGGCCTGCCCAGGGAGGGTTTCCATTAGCGTTGGGCTGAATGTGAATTTTTACATACATATGAGTTGGGTAGATTAGTTGTGGGTAGTGGGACTGTGCGCGTGGGTCTCCTTTTCAAAGCTGCGCTCACACCTGCCTTCTCTCCTTGCAGCCTCCTGAATGATGCCAGCCCAGCATCCTCTCACCTCCTGTCTGGCCGTCCTGGTGCTGCTGGGCACAGCCAGAGCAGGCCCCTTCTCTTCACGGTCCAATGTGACACTCTCAGCCCCACGGCCCCCTCCGCAGCCAGGGGGCCGCACAGTGGGGACAGGAGGGGGAAGCCCCTCTTCTCAGCTTTATGAACACACAATGGAAGGAGGGGAGAAGCAGGTGGTATTCACCCACCGTATTAACCTGCCCCCTTCTGCTGGCTGTGGCTGTCCCCCGGGCACTGAGCCTCCTGTCCCTGCTTCAGAGGTGCAGGCCCTGAGGGTCCGGCTAGAGATCCTGGAGGAGCTGGTGAAGGGGCTCAAGGAACAGTGCACTGGGGGATGTTGCCCTGCTGCTGCCCAGGCTGGCACAGGTGAGCTGGGGATCACAAGAGGGGGCACAGAAGAAAAGGAAGGTGCAGAGGTGGGTTAGGGTGTGGTGGGCACTGCTAATCCATAAAAGACCTTGGTATGAATTAGAAAAAGTCACCCTTCCTCACCCTTAGGGATGGTAAGTGCAGCCCAGAGCACAACTTGGAAAGCGGAGCTGGGCTAGACGTCAGCCTAAGCATATGCTGGGCCCTGAGAGGCTGGGAGCAACATGGCCTTATGGAAGGAGGCCCGGCCTGCTGGAGGGGCTGACCCATAGGACCGCCATAAGGGCTCCGCCTCTCTCCCCCCAGAGAGACTGAGGCCTGCTTCTCCCTGCCACTCCAGGTCAGACAGATGTGCGCAGCCTCTGCAGCCTTCATGGTGTGTTTGATCTGAGCCGCTGCGCCTGTTCCTGCGAGCCAGGCTGGGGCGGGCCCACCTGCTCAGACCCCAAAGACCCTGGGATGTCCCCCTCGTCCCCGCCTTCAGGGTCCTGCCCTGACGACTGCAATGACCAGGGTCGTTGTGTCCGCGGTCGCTGCGTGTGCTTCCCTGGCTATACCGGCCCCAGCTGTGGCTGGCCCTCCTGCCCTGGGGACTGCCAAGGTCGCGGGCGCTGCGTACAGGGCGTGTGCGTGTGCCGCGCTGGTTTCTCAGGCGCCGACTGCGGCCAGCGCTCTTGCCCTCGGGGCTGCAGCCAGAGGGGACGCTGCGAGGACGGGCGCTGCGTGTGCGACCCCGGCTACGCTGGCGAGGACTGCGGCATGCGGAGCTGCCCTCGGGGTTGCAGCCAGAGGGGGCGCTGTGAGGACGGGCGCTGCGTGTGCGACCCCGGCTACACTGGTGAGGACTGCGGCCAGCGCTCCTGCCCTCGGGGCTGCAGCCAGAGGGGACGCTGCGAGAATGGGCGCTGCGTGTGCGACCCCGGCTACTCCGGCGAGGACTGTGGCGTGCGGAGCTGCCCCTGGGACTGTGGCGAGGGCGGGCGCTGCGTGGACGGCCGTTGCGTGTGCTGGCCCGGGTACGCGGGTGAGGACTGCAGCACGCGGACGTGCCCGCGTGACTGCCGGGGCCGAGGGCGCTGCGAGGACGGCGAATGCATCTGCGACGCGGGCTACAGCGGGGACGATTGCGGCGTGCGCAGCTGCCCTGGCGACTGCAACCAAAGGGGCCGCTGCGAGGACGGCCGCTGCGTGTGCTGGCCCGGGTACACGGGGCCTGACTGCGGCGCGCGCGCCTGCCCACGGGACTGTAGAGGCCGCGGGCGCTGCGAGAACGGCGTGTGTGTCTGCAACGCGGGCTACAGCGGCGAAGACTGCGGCGTGCGCAGCTGTCCCGGGGACTGTCGCGGCCGGGGCCGCTGCGAGAGTGGCCGCTGCTTGTGTTGGCCTGGGTACACAGGCCGGGACTGCGGCACGCGCGCCTGCCCCGGTGACTGTCGCGGGCGGGGGCGCTGCGTGGACGGCCGCTGCGTGTGCAACCCAGGCTTCGCCGGCGAGGACTGTGGGAGCCGTCGGTGTCCCGGGGACTGCCGTGGGCACGGCCGCTGTGAGGAGGGCGTGTGTGTGTGCGACGCGGGCTACTCGGGCGAGGACTGCAGCGCGCGCAGCTGCCCCGGGGGCTGCCGAGGCCGCGGCCAGTGCGTAGACGGGCGCTGCGAGTGCGACGACGAATATTCTGGGGAGGACTGCGGTGTGAGGCGGTGCCCGCGCGACTGCAGCCAGCATGGCGTGTGCCAGGACGGTGTGTGCATCTGTTGGGAGGGCTATGTGGGCGAGGACTGTAGCGTCCGCACCTGCCCCTCCAACTGCCACGGACGCGGCCGCTGTGAGGATGGGCGCTGCGTGTGCAACCCAGGCTACACCGGCCCCGCCTGCGCCACTCGCAGCTGCCCGGCCGACTGCCGGGGTCGTGGGCGCTGTGTGCAGGGTGTGTGCGTGTGCCACGCGGGCTATGGCGGCGAGGACTGCGGACAGGAAGAGCCTCCCGCCAGCGCCTGCCCTGGGGGCTGCGGGCCTCGGGAACTGTGCCAGGCGGGCCAGTGTGTGTGTGTTGAGGGCTTCCGAGGCCCTGACTGTGCCATCCAGACGTGCCCAGGGGACTGCCGTGGCAGGGGAGAGTGTCGCCAGGGCAGCTGTGTCTGCCAAGACGGCTATGCTGGCGAGGACTGCGGGGAAGGTAAGCAGGCAGCCTTCCCCATTATGCTGGGCCAGGGACTGGGGTTCTGGGAACAGGAGCCACGGGGAAGACCTGAGCCTGAGGCCTGGGGGCCCATGGACCTGGAGGAAGAGTGGAGGGAGATCTGTACTGGGGGAGGGGTGTCAGTCAGAGGAGCCATGTCCAGGAGGGGTAGCAGACCCACCCGTGCATGCCAGCCGCGGGACTGGCCTTCAGATCTCTGAGGAGCAGCAGGGAGAGTGCCCCTTTGATTGCGTTTGGGGAGATTCTGTGCTCCTGGAGATGGGGGAAAGGTGAAGGAGACCCCAGCCCCCTTCAGGCCTCTGTCAGCTTCCCCCCTCACCTGTGCAGAGAGGAGGGGGAGCTCGGATGGGCCTCTTGGTGTAGCCCTGAGTAAAGGGGACTGTGATGTTGGCGATGGGGAGTGGTTGCCTTGGGCTAACCAGCTTTTTCTACCCCATTCTCTTGGGCAGAGGTGCCAGCCATTGAGGGCATGAGGATGCACCTTCTGGAGGAGACGACCGTTCGGACGGAGTGGACCCGGGCTCCTGGCCCCGTGGATGCCTACGAAATCCAGTTCATCCCCACGGTGAGGGAGATGCTCCGCTCCAAGAGAGGACTGAGTGGGCAGGACTGAGGTGGTGCTCACCTCTGGCAGAAAGGGCCACATACTCAGTGGTTGAGCCCAGATGGCTGGTTCCTGAAGCTGCTGGAAAGGCCTTCGTGTCCTGGGCACAGAGGCCTCTGCAGCATCTCCAGCAAGCATTGGCCCCATGTGGTGGAAACACTTCGGTGACCGTGCGCTCAGCACCTCCTGAGGCTGTTCAGTCCGTTTTTGGTCCTCACTGTGAGTCAGTTCTTCTTCTTGTTGCTGAATCCAAATCGGCCCCGGTTCTAATATGTATTTATTGGCCCCAGCTGGTCATTCGCCAGCAGCTAGAATTTTTTTGCTTTCCCTGTTTCCTACACCGGAGGCCTTCAGGTATTTGGAGACATCAGCCACCGCATCACCCTTCATTCCCCAGGCCAAACATCCTATGTCTTCACCCCTTTCCCTAATTCTTTGTTCTCTGAATCCTTCACTGTCCTGTACCTCCTGCTTTTTCATGCGCCCCTCAAAATGTGGGGGTAGAAAGGCGCGCACTGGCTAACTCTGGATTCACTCGCACTTTTCTCAGAGCTGGCATACATTAGCTTGTTGTCACACAAACTGTCAGCTGTTTTGGTCATATTTGTTTTAAGTAACTTTTTATTATAAAAGTCATATAGGCCCAGTGCAGAAAATTTAGAAAATATATGGAAAGAAAAAATATGGAAGGAAGGGAGGGAGGAAGACAACACTCGACTCTATACACTTTTTTAGCCTAAATATAGGCCTTTGCATTCGGCTCTGCTCAGAGTTATCTTTTCTGGTTTGGGCCAAGCTATCTAGGCTGTTGCAATCATTTTGAGTCTGTGAACTTGTTCTCCCACCTCCATGTCATCGTTGCATTGCGAAGCATTTTTTCTCGTCTCTGTTCAACTTGCTCTTAAAACATTAGGGGAGGACCCTAAGGACAAAGCCCTACGGCTGGCCTCTCATTAGGGACCTCCCTTTAGTGGAGTGGGCTTTTAGGATACGGCCGTTTCCCCAGCACCAAATCATCTGACATTTTCTCCATCGAACTCATGAATCATCCCACAAATGCCATAGGGTGTGGGCCATGTTACCCTCATCTTCATCAGGCTAGCCAGGACTCTGGAAAAATACAAAACTTCCTGGGCCTAAAGCCTTCAAAGGCACTAGGACAGAAAGGGATGGCTCAGAGGTGCTGTCTTGTCATCCTCACCCCACTTTGCCTGGTCTTCTCATTATATCCCTTAGGCCAGACCCCTACTATGTTCTATCTCTCCTTACTCTTTACAAAGCAGTGGCAAGAAATCCCTCCTTTATGGTACAACCAAGATAGCTTGGATTTTTTCTTCTGTTTAAACATTTTTTTGTTGTTTTAAAAATAATTTAATCACAAGACAAAAATTTGGCAACTAGAGAAAAGAAAAACAATTCTTGGCTGCTTTGCACTAAAACAAGCACTGCTAACGTTTTCAAGTGCTTCCCCCACTCTCTTCTTCTGTGTGTATATTATTTATATAGCTCTAATCTTGACAGGGTGGGACTTTTAAAAGGAACTTTCCTAAGAAACTTCAGGGAAAGAAGAATTAAAATAAACACTTGAGATAAGAGGAGCTTTCAGGGCAGCAGTTGTCTCCTGCTCCGAGTAAATAAATATAAACTCATCCTTGGGTGTTCCCAGGGCCGCTGCTTCCCAGTTGAAGCCGGAGGCCTCCTCACCCAGAGCCAGGGTGGGACGGAGCTAGCCTGTGCCACACTTGGCCCTGTTCTCAGCAAATCCGCCGTGCTCTAGGTATGGACCTCTGTCACATTCTGGGTCCTCTCTGAGCCTGGGTGTGGAAGATGCTCCTATAAAATTGGTCCCCAGATACTCCTCTTGGGCCTGGGCTGCCAACCCTCGGACCATGCTTTCTGCTCACTCTGGCTGGCTCCTGGCATTATTGTACCTTCTGCTATGTCCATTTCTGTTGGCATCGGCTATATTCAGTAGCTGGCTCTTTGCTGGCTGCTGCCATCTTTCTAGAAGCCTGTCTCTACCTCATCCCCTCCCCCTTCCCAGAAGCACTTATCTCTCAAAGCCCAAACCCTGCTATTCCCGACCAAAGGACACACCTGGTTACTGGAATTACTTTCAGAATGCAGAAGAGGAGTGTTCTTCCTCCCCTGCATTTGTGGCATTGTTACTCTGACTCAGTGGTTCTCAAAATGTGTTCCCTGGAGCTGCATCACCTAGGAGCTTGTTAGAAACGCAAACGGTCGGACTCTATCCCCAGATCTACTGAGCAGGTGTGGGGCGGAGCCCAGTAGCTTGTGTTGCAACAAGCCCTCCAGGTGATTCTGTTGCACTTGAGCCTGAGGACCGCTAACTTAAGGACTGTTGCCATTTTGAAAATGCCAGCTCCTCTATGAATGTGAGAGAAAGCATGGGGAAACTGAGGGAGGTAAGCCCTTGAATTAGAGATGCAGGTCTTCCTTGCCTGGAAACCAGGGCTATGCCAAGTGTTGGGACATAAGACCTTGCAGCCTCAGCAAAGTTTTTGCTTGGGTCTAGGGAGATGAGGGGTGAGGGAAGCTCCAGGGACCAGCCAAAGTGGCGTCCTCTATTTGGAGCCCCAAGTTGATATAGAAAATAAAGTTAAAAACTCGCCAAGAACAAAGTCTGTGAAGCAGCCAAGCTTTGCCAAGGGGCAGAGCCAGCTGCCAGCAGCTGGCTAGAGAGCCTGCCCCAGACCAGCGAGATGGTGCTGGGACACAGGGGTTAGGCTGGCAGACTTTCAGGGGCCTGTTCCCACATGGATCTCAGGAGGAAGCAAAAGGAGTCTAAAGGATATAGATGGGTTGGTCTGAAGGGAGAAGGAGCACTCTGGTGATAGGCCTGCCTTGCTGAAGGAACCAGACATTATCAGGGAGCGGCCAGGGTGTTGGGGGAAGCACTGGGGGAAAAAAGAGGGAGAGAGAGACAGAGAGAATGAACAAGTAAATTCCGGGGAGGGTAAGGATTTCACAGGTCTTGAGCTAGGGCCAATCCAAGGCTTCCTAGGCTGGGGTATCCTAGGGCAGGGTGAATAGGAGAGGGATGGGGGTCCCGTGTGCCCAGGAACCTTTTCAGCCCAGAAAACTGACAAATTTCCATTTCATCCTCAACCCAGAAATCTCTACGTGGCCTTCTCATCTGGTTTTATACTTCGGTATTTACTGTGTTGATTACCCCGCAGTTCTCCCGGTTTAGGAGAGTACCTTTTGAAATTTCCAATCTTACTTGGCTGAATGGAGGCGTCCCCATCACAGCCAACATAGCTAAGCAGAACAGAGTGTCCTTAGCGGCTCTCCTGGCTGGACAGCCCAGAGAAGTGTGGGGCTGTTCGAATGCTCACAGATGTCCAGTTCCTCGTGTTCCCCAGCGGTTGGCACTCCAGGAGACCCCGCCTGGAGCAGGGCCTAGCAGAGTTCCTTTGGGGCCACCACACCTAATCACAACACCTTACATGTACAATTGGAGGAGGATTGTTTTCTCACGGGCATTTGCTACACAGAGATGTATGTAAGTTATCTATAAAGCTGGAGACGTATCTATACATTTAGCTACTAGAGTGTAAGCCACCTAAGCACAGGGACCCTATCTTTTATTTTTCTGTCTCAATGCCCAGCATGATGCCAGGTACAAAATCAGCAATCAGGAAACTTCTTTTTGGAGATTCAAGAGGTGGGGGCTTGTTTAGAGGAGCCTACAAACCTGCTGAAGAGACAAGAAAAGTCCCCGAAAGGGACCGTTGTGATGCGGGGTCACACTCGCATTGCACAGCCACGGGCAGGCGTCTGCCGGGAGGCTCAGGCTGAGGCAGCCGCTTTAAGGAAGGAGTGAGGCTTGCAGGGGCACCTGAATCTACTTCGTGTGTTCAGAGAGGAACGGGCTTAGGCTGCGCCTCCTTGTGCCGAGGTAGTCTGGGCTGCTGGGGGAAAGTCAGAGGGTGAGTCCAGCGCATGTCAGGTGGAATTCTGGTAAATGAACAGGGAGTGCCCAGGAGAAGGGACTCTCGGGTCACACTGCCAGGGCTTAAATTTCTGCTACCTTCTCGATGTTGGTGACCTTGGCAAGATATTTGGCCTTCTTTGCCTCAGTTTCCTCATCTGTGAAATGGGACTAATAGGACCTATCTCATAGGGTTGTTGTGAGAATTGAGTTCATATATGTAAATCTAGAACAGTGGCCGGCACAGAGTGAGTGTTCCCTAGATGTGTTTCCTGTTACTGCCCAGCTCCCCAGCTTGTACGGGGCCGAGTTCCACACAGCCCCATGCTGACACTGTTTGCAACTGGAGAAAGAAGAGGTAGGGGGATTGAGCAGCAGGGGCCCGAGTGCCCTCCCGAGCCACCTGGTGCTCTCTCTCACAGACAGAGGGGGCGAGCCCCCCATTCACCGCGCGGGTGCCTAGCTCTGCCTCAGCCTATGACCAGAGAGGACTGGCCCCCGGCCAGGAGTACCAGGTCACTGTCCGTGCCCTTCGAGGGACCAGCTGGGGCCCTCCTGCCTCCAAGACCATCACCACTAGTGAGAGCCGGGGCTGTGGGGGTGGGGTCCTGGGTGGAGATCTGGATTGGCCAGGGAATCTGCCCTCCAAGAGAGAGAGGGGGAGGGGCTGGATGGGAGTTGGCTCTTGGAAGGACAATCAATGACTGAAGAACCAGACACCCACCTGAGCCCTCCTTTTTCTAACCTTGCTAGTGATCGATGGTCCCCAGGACCTCCGAGTGGTGGCTGTGACGCCGACCACACTGGAGCTCAGCTGGCTGCGTCCCCAGGCCGAGGTGGACCGATTTGTGGTGTCCTATGTCAGTGCCGGCAACCAGAGGGTGCGGCTGGAAGTGCCCCCCGAAGCAGACAGGACACTGCTGACTGACCTGATGCCAGGCGTGGAATATGTGGTGACTGTCACAGCGGAGAGGGGCCGGGCAGTCAGCTACCCGACTTCTGTCAGGGCCAACACAGGTATGGCTGGTTAGAGCTTAGGGAAGAAGGGCCCTGGACTCCAAGGTGTGGAGCCCCCTCCTCGGGAGCCCGGGCCTAGGGCTCATGCGCTCCTCTGAATGCATTTGACAGGGCGCCTGGCAGTCTCAGGCACCTGCCGGGGCCCTTGCTCTGTCCCAAAGGCAGGTTGCAGGTTTGGCTATGGGAGGAACTGGCCCAGGGAGAGAAGCAGTGAGTAGGAGATGCTGTGTAATCCACTCAGATGAAGGAGGTGCTTATCTAAATTTAGGTACAAGGACAGGCCATGCATGTGCTGACAGATCTTTTGGGGACCGGAATTAGGCAGATCAGAGATCCTCAGTCCTGTTGACTTTAGGATTGGGATTGCTGGCACTTGGGTCTCAAGCAGTAATTTTCCACTAACCTTCAAGGTTTCTTAACAGATGCCTGGATCTTTCTTTTCTTTTCCTGTGACAGGGGGACGCCCACCTTGCAGTAACTCACATTCTCTACCCCTCCCCTTTCTCTCCTTCAGATCCAGGGCCCTGCCCGCTGGCTTCTCTCTTCTTTCTAGGGCACCAGCAGTGGTGGGCTTGGAGAGGGTAGGGGGGCTTCCAGGACACTGACTCATTTCTGGCGTTTCTCTTTCCAGGTGCAGCTGGGGCACAGGGAAGAGGCCTCTGGCTTTGCTGGGAGGGACCGAGGGAGGGGCTGCCGTGGGGAGGAGCGCAGGGGGGGAGCTGCCACTGACCTGTTCTCCTCCCCTTTTTCGCCCTGGCAGCACCAGGCCACTACAGTTACCCGGAGGTGCGCCCCCCAGCCCCGCCCCCCAAGCCCCGGCCCCGGCCGGCCCCGGCCCCGCGGCCCCCACAGCCCCCTCGGCCCTCACGGCCCGCAGAGGACGGGGAGGCGTCCCGGCCCCGGCCAAGCCTGCCCCAACCCCCGCGGCGGCCGTGGGGCAACCTGACGGCCGAGCTGGGCCGCTTCCGCGGCACGGCGCAGGACCTGGAGCGCCACCTGCGGGCTCACGGCTACCCACTGCGGGCCAACCAGACTTACGCGTCGGTGGCGCGCCACATCCATGAATACTTGCAGCGGCGTCTGGCGGCCGCCGCCCCCGCCAGCTCCCCCGCCCCTCCGCCCAGTCGCCCCCAGCCCACCGCCAGCTCTGATCCAGGCACCAGGAAGCGGGACTCCAACCGGGGCATCTACGGCCTCTCGCCGGAAGGCGTCGACCGGGCGGCTGCGCCTCGCCACCCCAAGCCCGAGGTGCTGGGCAGTTCCGCCGACGGCGCGCTTCTCGTGTCTCTCGACGGGCTCCGCGGCCAGTTCGAGCGCGTGGTGCTGCGCTGGCGGCCCCAGCCGCCCGCAGAGGGCCCCGGCGGTGAGCTGACCGTGCCGGGCACCACGCGCACCGTCAGCCTACCCGACCTCAAGCCCGGCACCACCTACCACGTGGAGGTCCACGGGGTGCGGGCGGGGCAGACCTCCAAGTCCTACGCCTTCATCACCACCACAGGTAGCGTGGGCTGGGGCTGCGGGACCACCCATCCCCTGTCCAGCCTCACCTGCCGTTGGAGTCCCACGAGTTCCTCCCACTGCCTCACCCCTCAGACTACCACACCCCACCACACCTTCCACCTTCAGGCCCTGCCTGGCCCAGGCTGCAGGGAACCACTCCCCCCCCGCCCCCCCAACAAAGCAGCCCTCCTGTGTCCCTAGAAGCCACTCCCACGGTCCTGGCATCATCCTGTGGATACCTAAGGCCAAGGCAGCCTCATCTTTGGGATTCCCACGGCACTTCTGCGAGAATTGCTGTTCTAGGCAATGACGGGGCATTTGGGGGGCGGGAGACTGGGGCGGGAGGAACCTGAAAAGATTCACTGGAGCAGTCTGAGTGGCTGGGGATTGAAACCAGTGATTCCCACTCTGACTCACTGTGGTGAGGGTGGCTGAAGACTGTGGTCAGTGGTTACTGTTTTCCACAATTTGGCCTTGACCTTGAAGGGACACATCAGAACTGCTTGGGGATGACCTTGAAGCCATCAGGCAGCATGTAGGGGGTGAAACCACTGCTTCCTCAGCTGCCTTTTCAGACCTCCTGGCTCACTTTATGCTGGTCTCTCCCACAGGAACGATGTCCGGGCTTGGGGAAAGGGTGCTCTGTGGCTGCTGTGGGGAGGGCGGTGGACCTCTTCTTCCCCCATAGGGCCCAGATGCCACCTGACCTGGACGTCCGCCCCCACAGCCTCTCTTTCCTCTCTTCTCACTGCCCACTCTCCTCTTGCATCCTCCTCCCTAACATCACTGTCTCCTCCTTTCTTCCAGGCTTCCACTGCAGCACTAATGGAAGCCACCCGACCACCACCCCGTGGGGAGGGGGATGTGTTTGGGGAGGGACAGGAAGTCTCTGGGGACTGGAGGTTGTAGAAGGCTCGTGGGGGAGAGATAGCACGCTTTGTGTATTTGACTTATTCCCTGCCCTAAGCGCAGGCCTGTCTGTTCAGTGATGTGTAGATGGGGTGTTGGGAGGACTGGCAGACCTTCCAGAGGTTGGGGCAGCACAGGTGGTAGAGCGGGGCATAGAAAAGGGGAGGGTCTCTAAGCCCTTCTAGGCTGGAGGGCAGAACCTGGGGACTGAAGATTCCTTTCCGGCTCTTATACTCAACTCTCCTCTTTTTCTCCCCTTGCCTCTTACCAGGGTCCTCACCCTCAGGCCTCTTGGGGGCTACCGATGAGCCTCCTCCTTCAGGCCCCTCGACGACCCAAGGGGCCCGGGCCCCTCTCCTGCAGCAGCGCCCCCAGGAGCTGGGAGAGTTGAGGGTGCTGGGCAGAGACAAGACAGGGCACCTCCATGTGGCCTGGACTGCCCAGCCCGACACCTTTGCCCACTTCCAGCTGCGACTGCGGGTACCCGAGGGGCCGGGGGCACACGAGGAACTGCTGCCAGGGGACGTCCGCCAGGCCCTGGTGCCTCCACCTCCTCTTGGAGCCCCCTATGAGCTGTCACTTCGTGGGGTCCCCCCTGGGGGCAAGCCCTCTGATCCCATCATCTACCAAGGCATTATGGGTACATCTTGGACTCTGCTCAAACCAATGTCCTGAGACTGGGGGAAGAGCTAGGGCTATCAGGTCTTGAGAGGTGGGCTGACATTTGGGGCTGGGTGATAGGAGAAAACAAGGAGAGAAAAGAATTGTGGGTTCAGAGGGTAGATGGTTGGGGGTACCTTAGAACAATGATGGAGGTGGGCGGGGAGAGGGGAGGAAGGCAGGAGGAGAAAAGTCTGAGGGTGGGACAGGGACTCAAGGGAGAGGCTGTAGGCCTCTGGCCCTCCACCTGCAGCTTTCCTTGCCTCACATCCTGTGCCCACTTCCTGGTCTCTCCTCTGTCCTACCCTGACCTGTGTCTCTCTCTGGGTGGGCATGAGAAGGCCTCTGGATCCTGATGCTCAGCCCCCTCCCCATCCCTTTCCCACAGCCCCCAGCACCTCCTGCCTGGGAGCCTGGCTTGCAGTGGACAGCACCCATGGTCCCATCAGCCAGCGTTTGCTGGTCCTTGGGGAAGGGGGCTCCACAGCCAGCAGGACTTCCGAGATGGGTGGGGCTGGCAGGACCAGTGCAGGATAGAGCCAGCGGTGCTTCGCTCTCACGTCCCCTCTTGGTTCCTGTCTGTGGTACCAGGGTGGCCAAATCTCTAACTCCAGGTCAGGCTCGCCACTGGGAGAGATGGTGGCAAGGCTGAGTGTGGCTCAGATGGGCCGAGGAGCCTTCGGACTGCTCTGAAGCAGCAGCAAGGAGGCTCGAAAATTTCAGGCAGAACCACAAGGGACCTAAACTCCCCCAGAGATCCCAGTATGCAGAGAGGCTAAGACCTTGTGAAAGTGGAGAAACTGTCACACAGGAAGGGACAGAGATTGAGGGAGGAGAGCTGGTCACAGAGGGCTGAGGGGTGGGGAAATAGAGGCTTCCAGGGAGGGAGCTGTCCAGGATGGGGTGAGGCAGGCAGGCAGAGGAGCGGGAGGGAGGCCGGGGACAAGGAAATGGGTGAGTCCACTGTGCTTTGCTTTTGCCCCCTAAATCCCAGACAGGGATGAGGAGAAGCCTGGGAAGCCCTCAGGTCCACCACGCCTAGGCGAGCTGACCGCGACGGACATGACCTCTGACTCCTTGCTTCTGCGCTGGACGGTCCCCGAGGGCGAGTTTGACTCCTTTGTGATCCAGTACAAGGACAGGGACGGGCAGCCCCAGGTGCTGCCTGTGGAGGGGCCCCAGCGCTCGGCCCCCATCACCTCCCTGGACCCCGGCCGCAAGTACAAATTTGTCCTGTACGGGCTCGTTGGCAAGAAGAGACACGGCCCCCTGGTGGCTGAAGCCAAGATCTGTGAGTGAGAGCCGTCATACCGCCCCTGCCCTCCGTACCGTCCTGCAAGTCTTCCCAGTACTTTGGGAACCTGCTTTGGGAGCTCCAAGAAGGCTTCCTGGAGGCGGCGGTGCATGAGCTGAATGCTAGAGGGAAATTAGTGGTGGGGCAGGCAGAAGAGTGTGGCCGCAGGAGAATTGGTGTCAGTGGCCTGGGGCTGGAGAGCAGGGCACGTGGGGAGCTAAAGGGCTTAGGGCTTCCTGGGCCGTGCTGAGGGGCTTGGGCCTCATTGGAGGTCCTGGAGGCCTCTGAAGGGCTAAGTAAGAGAGTGCCTGACTGGATATTCGTCTTGCAAATAGCGCTGTGACTGCCGCAGAGGGTAGCCGGAGAAGGGAATTAAGAGCTGGCAAGAAGTGGTGGTGGCTTGGCTGGGATGGTGGCAGCAGGCTGGATGTGGGAGGTGAAGGAGAGTGAGGGGCCCAGGCAGTCCCCCGGGGTTCTGAGTCAGATACTCCCATTCCCGAGGCAAGGAGCAGCAGGGAGTGGAACAACACAGTGTGGAACACTTAGATAAACATCTTTTGTGCATTTAATGAGAGTCAAATGTGTTCGAGATGTTCTAAGCAAGGATCATCACACTCCTTAAGGCACACCTGGGAGGCATGCCCACTTCACAGATGAGAAGTGAGGCAGAGAGGAAGAAGGGGTGGGGCCTCAGGGTTCTACTGCCTTCTGGGTTTGGAGAGCGGAGAGAAGGCCTGCAGGGGGGGTGTGGTGTCATCAGTGCTAGTGGGCAGGAGCCAGGGTGAGAGTGTGGGATGGGGGAAGAAACAGGACCGCTGGAACCCTGGGGGTGAGCAGAGGAAGAGGAGCCTATGGGGTAGCCTGAGGGGTGACTCGCAGGGAGGGGCAGAACCATGCAGCAGGGCACAGTCAGACTTGTCAGATTCCAGAAGAGTGATTCAAGGGCTATAGAGTGTCCACAAGACTTAGCAATGGCAGGGTCACCACTGGCCCCATGAGAACTGCCTGGTGGAGGGTGGAGCTGGGTTGGGAGGGTGATGGCGATGAGGACATGGCTGCAACCAGTGTAGACATCGCTTTCTGGAATCTGGGCTGGAAATAGAGAGCAAAGAGGGAAGCTGGAAGCTGGAGGGAGATGCGCACGGGATTGGGGCAGGGGGGACAGGAGCTTGTTTAAATGCTGATGGCACAGCTGCTGGGAGGGGAGTCACTCATGGCTCAAAGTTCCCAAGGAGGAGGACAGGCCTGGAGCACGGGTGTGGGAGGCTGTCCCACATCGCAGCGCCTCAGAGATTGTGCTGTTCTCTCTTGGAGGAGAAACCAGTGAGTAGTGAGGCTTGGAAGCAGCGGAGGTTGTCCTGGGAAGATTTCCCTGACTGTGGAGGCTTGAAAGGGCCTGGCTGGGGTCCCCTCTCTCTGAAGCTCCTGCTCCTGGGTTATGGATAGAGTCAGGGCCGCACTAGTCCACACAGCGCTTTAGTGTCATTTGGAAGAGGGCACCCCTTCCTCTTAGACATAGCTCCTCCCTCGAGCGCTGGCTGGCTTCTGTCCCTCTCTACTCCCTTGGCAATGCACCTTTGTGCAGCGACCTGCCTGCACAACCTCACACAGCATCCCTGTGTGGGAGACGGATTCACCCTTATCCTATGACCCGTGACTCTCCCTTCTCTCTGTCCCCCTTTTCCTAGTGCCTCGGAGTGACCCAAGCCCGGGGACCCCACCCCGCCTGGGAAAGCTGTGGGTGACAGACCCTACTCCAGACTCACTGCACCTCTCCTGGACCGTCCCTGAGGGCCAGTTCGACTCCTTCATGGTCCAATACAGGGACAGAGATGGACGACCCCAGGTGGTACCTGTGGAAGGGCCTGAGCGTTCAGTCGTTATCTCCCCGCTGGACCCTGACCACAAGTACAGATTCACTTTGTTTGGGATTGCCAACAAGAAGCGGTATGGACCCCTCACGGCCGATGGCACCACGGGTGAGTGGCAGCCGCCACACCCCCACGTGACCTCTCCCAGCCCTCCGCGCACTTGCCCTCAGCCGGAAACCAGCTGGACCCCAGCAAGATGGCTGACTCCGGCGTCCTCGCCCCGCTCCTGGGCGCAGGGGCAGCCGGCCTCCCCCACACTGCTGGGCCCCTCCCATCCCATGCAGCAGCTCCCCACAGCCCAGAAGGTGTGTCACGCCCTGGCTGTGCCAGACTTCCCAGGAGTTTTGCACTCACACTAATCAAATAGTGACACCCCGCCATGTGACATTGTGACATCCCGTCCAAACCCCAGCCCCAATCCCAGGCCGCCAGTTCAGCACCTGGCTGGATCCTCTTGTTTACAGCCCCAGAGAGGAAAGAGGAGCACCCCCGTCCTGAATCTCCTGAGCAGCCCCTCCTGGGGGAACTGACGGTGACCGGCGTGACGCCAGACTCCTTGCGCCTGTCGTGGACGGTGGCCCAGGGCCCCTTCGACTCCTTCATGGTCCAGTACAAGGATGCACAGGGGCAGCCCCAGGCGGTGCCCGTCAAGGGGGATGAGAATGAGGTCACCGTCCCTGGCCTGGAGCCCGACCGGAAGTATAAGATGAACCTCTACGGGCTTCGTGGCAGGCAGCGTGTGGGGCCCGTGTCTGTGGTGGCCAAGACCGGTGAGTCAGGGCTGCGCAGGCCTGCCCCCTGCCGGCCCCCAGCCTGTGAGCCAGACCTGGCCTGGGTCCTTCCAGCCCCTCCACCTCCTCCTCCTCAGCTCCGATTCCGCCACTGCCCACCCGCCCCTCTCCGCTGCTCTCCTGTCCTCGTCCAGCTCCGGCTCCTCCTTCCTTTCTCGGCCCCGCTTCTCCATCTCCAAGGCAGGTCCCATTTCCCATTCCAAGCACCCGGACCTACCCCTCTGCCCTGTTCTGTCCTCCCTGCAGATGTCCTCACCGTTCGGTCACTGTGTTCTCTCTCCCCACAGTTCTTACTGGGCTACATCATGGCGTAGTTCAGGCTGTGGTCACTTCTGAGCTTCGGTCACCTGCTCCCCACGCCCTCCCGCCATTGCTGCTCTGATCACAGGTGGCAGATCCAGGTGCAGGGACTAGAGCACCACATTTCCCCAGCCTCTGCGGTGCACAGAGGACTCCTCCAGTCCCCCAGCTCCCTGACTGGGACTGGGGCAAAGGGCTCACTTTCAGCGCAGCATCCCAGCCTCCTCCTCCGTGTCCCCAGCCTGTCCCCATCCAGTGCCATCTCCATGTCCTGTGAATTCTTTGCCAAGAGATAGGGTGACATGGTGCTTGGGAGCAAAGACTCTAGAGCCACCTCCCTGAATCTTGCTACCAGCTTTGCAACTCATTACCTAGGGGACCTTGTGCAAGTTACTTAACCTCCCTGTGCCTCAGCCTTTCCTTCTGTCAATGGGGACGACAATGGTTACCACTACACAGAGTTGTTAGGATTAAATGAGATGATACATGTACAGCACTTAGTATAGTGCATGGCACCTCAAATCTGCCACTGGAGACTGAGCTGCTATTTCTCCCTGACTCTCTCACTTCCCAGTAACCTTTTTTCTCCTCCCCTCCCTGCCTTCCCCATCCTTGCCTGGGTTATCATTCATGCCTGTTCCCTCCTCTGCCTCCCATCCCAGAGTAGTCATGGACCAAGGGGTGGGCCCCAGGAGGGCGGGCTTCCCTTGTGCCCTCCCCACTCCACGGAGCCTTGGCAAAGACCTAGCTGCAGGGGACGCTGGTAGGTGCCCACAGGGGTGTGATACCAGAGCCAGCCAGGAAAGAACAGGGCCTTTCCCCAGCTCCCATGAGCCCCCACCTGCTCCTGAATTTTTTTCCCCATTCTGGCCCGGAGCCCTGCCCTAGCAATTCATTCCTTAAGGTTAAAGGGGAGGGAGGGGGCGGGGCTTCCTGGGGAGGTTGTAGCAGGCGCACATTCCACAGTCATGGGACACAAGGGGCAGGGCCGCCAGAGCTGGGGAAGCGCAGGCAGGTCAGCACTGTCACTGAACATGGTATAGAAGAATCCGCAGAGGTTTCCTCTCTTCCCATCTCAGCTGCTTTCGCAGATACGAGGGGAGACTCCTTGCCCCCACAGAACCCACCCATACAGGATGCCATTGGGGGTTATCTCAGCCCCCTCCATCCATGAGTGCCCCAATGGCTGACACAAAGGCTACGCAAGCCCCTAAGCCTATGGCGTGAGGAGTATATCTGACACATGTCCTCTATTGATGACAGCAGCAAGCAAGTCACCCTTTAAGCCTGTATCTCCCATCTCTTCTCACAGCTCCTCAGGAGAGTGTGGAGGAGACCCCCAGCCCCACAGAACCCAGCACGGAGGCCCCAGAGCCCCCAGAGGAGCCACTGCTGGGGGAGCTGACGGTGACAGGATCGTCCCCAGACTCGCTGAGCCTCTCCTGGACCGTCCCCCAGGGCCACTTCGACTCCTTCACCGTCCAGTACAAGGACAGGGACGGGCGGCCCCAGGTGGTGCGTGTCAGGGGTGAGGAGAGAGAGATGACTGTGGGGGGCCTGGAGCCCGGGCGCAAGTACAAGATGCACCTGTACGGCCTCCACGAGGGTCAGCGCGTGGGCCCCGCGTCCACCGTGGGCGTGACAGGTGAGTGAGGGGCAGGGGCCTGGTTTGGTTCCCTTCCACTGCTGGCCCTGACTTCCCTGGAGCCAGTTCCTTTCCTGCTCCAGCGGAGCCATGAGGCACCCCCTGCTTGGGGAAGACCTAGAAAGAGGAGGCCACTAAGGACTGGGGCTACAATGCGCTTTTGTGACCCTGAGTAGGTTGTAAACTTTCTGTGCCTCTGTTTCCTGGTCTATAAAATGGGGATAACACCGACCTCACCGAATCGTGAGGATTAAAGGAGCTAACAGATGTAAAGCATCAGCACTGGGCCTGGCACGCAGCAAACATGCTCGCAGCATTTGCTCCTGGGATTATTATGATCATCCTTACTGTGGGGCCCGCTTTGTCCTCCTTGGCTGGTTCAGCTGTTGGTCAGAACGTGCGTGAGCCTGCAGCCATCCCACCCTGAACGCGCCGGCCTCCTCTGATCTCGGAAGCAGAGCCAGGCCTGCTTAGTACTTGGGTGGAAGAACATGCATGAGACGTTGGCCTCTTCATCAGTGCAACCCAAAACTTTCTTTTCTTTTTTTTTTTGAGACAGAATCTTGCTCTGTCACCCCAGGTAAAGTGCAGTGGCATCGTCGTACCTCACTGCAACCTCCAACTCCTGGGCTCAAGCCATCCTCCTGCCTCAGCCTCCCAAGTAGCTGGGACTGTAGGAGTGCACCATGCCTGGCTAATTTTTCTATTTTTAGTAGAGACGGGGTCTCGCTTTTGCTAAGGCTGGTCTTGAACTCCTGAGCTCAAGGGATCCACCTGCCTTGGCCTCCCAGAGTGCTAGGATTGCAGGCATGAGCCACCACACCGGCCAAAAGTTTCGTTAGCACTCATCCAGTGAGTGACTTCACAGCAAAGAAGAGCATTCCTTCCTCCTCCCTGTCTCGGGCCCAGTTAGGGACCACCTGAACCACCACAAAGAACCCAGCCTGGGCACCTCCTGTCCAGGGCCTCAGCCCAAGAGGCTGAGTGGGCAGCAGTGCCTCTGGGACCCTCCTGCTGACCTACCCAGCTTGGTCACTGCGAGAGGCGTCTCTTTTTCCCTTTGCTCACTGAAACAAGACACACCTTTTTCAAAAACAACTTTTACTATAAGGGGAAAGATTAAAAACTTAAAGGTAGAGAAACAGATAGTTTTCCAGAACACTGTTTCCGTATTTCCACAAAGCTCAACCAGATAATGGCTTGGTTAATTTAGTTTCCAGAACCTTCCACTCCCAATTTCTTTTCTTTGCCTCCGTCAGCACTGAGGAGAGGGAGACGGGAAAGCCACCCTGAGTTACTCTCCCCAGGGCCTGAGGTAGCAGGCTGGGGCAGGTGCCAGGCCCAGAGGTGCCACCAAGGTTTCTGCTGGAGTGATCCTGGTCTGTTCTGTCCCAGGGAACCACACTGGGCTCTGTGAGGCCTGGCCCTGGTCCCTGAGGTGAGGACAGGCTTTACCAGGCACTGACTGAGGCGGTTCGATTTGGAACCTGACAAACCGAGTTCCACTCCTGGCCTCCCCTGTTCTCAGCTGTGTGATCTTGAAAAACTTACCCCCTCTCCACCCTCGGCATCGTCATCTTCAAGGTGGAGCAAATGCTGCCCAGTAACGGAGGAAGTGATGTGACTTCTCGCATGTTCTCAGTTCATTCGACGTTTGCGCAGACCTTCCCATGGAGGAATCCATGTTCATTTTCAGAGATAGGGTCTTGCTCTGTCGCCCGGACTGGGGTGCGGTGGTGTGATCACAGCTCACTGCAACCTCCGACTCCTGGGCCCAAGCGATCCTCCCACCTCGGCCCGGAGTTGCTGGGATTAGAGGCGTGGGCCACTGTACCGGCTGAGAAATCTGTATTTTAATGCTGGATATTTTGAAAGATGTATTTTTACATGTCCTGGATAAAATGGAGGAGGCCCTTTAGGAAAGAAACGGGCATCGCTGTTCATCGTTAGCGCAGCCGGGGCATGAAGTCGCCGGAGCCCACTGAGCCTGGGGCTGGCCTGGCGCACGGCACTTGTGGGGCTGTTGCCAGGGGAGAGATGCATGGAGCTTATTAGAAACTTCAAAATCAGAAAAGGACTGTCCCACATGCAGCATGGGAACTGTCATGCTCTTGAACAGTTAAAATCTCACCTTTTCCAGTTAAGCCAAACCACCAACAGTAAGGCTCGATGGTGAGGGACGGTTCATTCCCTCATGGAAAGAAGTTGCAGGAGGGCAGGTGGCAGGGGGTGATGTGAGAAGTGAACATGTGGGACCTTGGAGGCCACCGTAAGGACCTGACTTTCACTCCGAGTGAGATGGAAGCCACTGTGGGAACAGGCTCTGACTAATCGTTAACAGGACCCTGCTGGCTGCAGACCCTGCAGACGGGGGTGGGGGCAGAAGGAAGGAGGTGATCTGGGAGACTGTTGTGATAGTCCAGTGAGAGCCCCTGGTGCTTGGCAGTGGCGAGGAGGGTCAGATTCTGAAGGTAGTGACAATAGGACTTGCCCACGGGGCAGATGTGGGATGTAAAAGAGGACTTGGGAAGGACTCCGAGGATTTTGACCGGAGCGGCTGGAGAATGAGCTGGTTATTTCTCTGAGGGGGGCAGGCAGGCTGGGAGCAGGTGTCGGAGGAAGCTCAGGCCCAGTTTTGGACTCGTCGAGCCTGACTCACCAATGCGGCATCTCGGGAAGACGTTGAGCAAACATGAGCCTGGGGTCAGGGGAGAGGCCTGGACAGGGGATCTAAGTTTGGAGTCATTGACATACGGATGGACCTCAGCCACTTTGCCAGGGTCTCAGTGACGGTTGACACCCCTCTCTCCCAGCAACTGTAACCTCAGACACCTGGCAGGGCCCCAGTGAGGGATTGTTGGCCAGACAGATGTTGCCAGTGGATGCAGTTTTACATCAAACCACCTCATGGGTACCACAAAAATAATGGACATAAGTATTACTAAAGGAAAGAAGGCCCTTTCCTAATAGCTCCCTGCCATCTCTGTCCTAGCCCCACAATGGGAAGAAGAGACCCCTCCAGCTACCCAGCCCCCGCCGGAGCCGCGCCTGGGGGAGCTGACAGTGACAGATGTTACCCCCAACTCCGTTGGCCTCTTGTGGACTGTCCCTGAGGGCCACTTTGACTCCTTCGTGGTCCAGTACAAGGACAGTGACGGGCAGCCCCAGGTGGTGCCCGTGGCTGCAGACCAGCGGGAGGTCACCGTTTCCAACCTGGAGCCTGCAAGAAAATACAAGATGAACTTCTACGGGCTCCATGGCAGGCAACGAGTGGGCCCCCTCTCCGTGGTAGCGGTGACGGGTGAGTGAGGGTGAGGCACTCCCCATCCCTGGGTACCCAGAGCTCCTACCCCACAGCCCTTCTCCCAGCCCTGCCTGGGCACCGCCGCTCCTTCGTGGAGGGCTAAGCCCTGCAGGGCCTTCCCGGGCTCACAGGCTTCTTGGTCTGTTCCCTGACCCCGTGGCTTCTCCTGGGCTGGAACCTCCCTGCCCTGGGGTCCTTCCCCATCTCCGCTCCCCTCACCGCGCGGGACGTCTGCTTCCATTCGGCCTAATCCAGCCTCAGACTTTCTCTCTTTCCTTCTGCCATTGTCCACAGCTGTCTCCTCCTCTTCTCTTTGCAACCCTACTGTGACTTGGACATGGCTGCCACCTCCCCCTTCTGCCCTTTCCTACTGGGGTTAAACGGTACACATCCCCAAATCCCTTCTCAGAATCCGTCCTTAGCTGCGTGGCTTAAATTGCTTTCCTTTCTGGCCTGGGCCAGTTTTTCTCTCTCCAGGGAGCTGCCCTCTCTCTGGCTCCTGGCTTCCTCCTGCCCCTCATGGCCTCCTAGGCATAGGTTCCCAGGATTTTGGGGTTTTTTTCCCATGTCTAGGAAGAGGAAACTCCATGACTTTTGTATGGTGGCATCTGGTGAAACACATACCCCTCTCAGAGCAATGTTTTAAAATCTATAAAATAAAATGTATAGGATTACAAAGGAAGCCAATTATATAGATTTACAATTATCAAAATATTTCTTAAAAACTCAAATTCATGATTCAGTAATACTTGGACTGACATCAGTTCATTCTATAACACATTGCATGTTTAATAAACTACAACTTTTAGAAGTAGTGATGAGTGTAAATGGTATTTTAAAGTCTTTGCAACATCTCTAACGTGACGTAAAAACGTCTATGTTGTCTCTTGGCAACAAAGTCGCGATGCCACTACTATGGTGGGTTTCCTGTGTTGGTCATTGAAGGAAATGCTGCATTGCAGTTACAGGTGTGAAAATAAAGGTGTAACTGTTCCCCATCTCAGTTCGCAGCCCCCTAAGGCCCTGAGCACCCAGGGGTTCCCCCCTCAAAGACCTCAGCCTTGTTCTCTGTCTTCCTGGATCCCAGATCCTCTCCCACCAGCCCCAGCCACAGAGGCGTCCAAGCTCCTCCTGGAGCCACGCCTGGGGGAGCTGGCAGTGGTGGACGTGACCCCTGACTCCGTGGACCTCTCCTGGACAGTCCCTGAGGGTGAATTCGACTCCTTCGTGGTCCAGTACAAGGACAGGGACGGGCAGCCCCAAGTGATGCCGGTGGCCGCAGACCAGCGGGAGGTCACTGTCCCAGGCCTGGAGCCCTCCCGCAAGTACAAGTTCCTGCTCTTTGGGATCCGGGATGGAAAGCGACGCAGCCCAGTCTCTGTGGAGGCGAAGACAGGTGAGAGGCCCCGCAGCCTTCCCCCTTCCTCCCACTCCCCATCCCAGGTCTTCCCTTGTCCACCTCCTCTGTCTCCTTTGAAAAGCCACAGCCCTCCCCACCTAAAGCAGACAAGGACCAGAAGAACAGGCCAGTTCCTGGGTCTGCTCTCCTTGCTGATTTTGCCCCTCTTCTAACTTCGGCTTCTGGTGGAGGGGGGACGCCCCCACAGGCCCCTTCCTGGAGGAGGGACCGAGAGAGACTGGGGTGTTGGAAGAGGGGGTGAGGGTAGCCAGGAGCCCTTCCTGCCTCCCTGGGCCTTCGGGCCGTCACTTCCTCAGAGTTTGGCTGTCGCCCTTGCGACTTCCACGCAGGCTCTTACCCTCCTGGCTCAGGCCTTTTTGGTCCCACGTGCGCCTCCTGCAGAGGCTCCCCTTCCTCCTCTGCCCCCCACCCCGAGCCTCAGAACTCGGGAACCAGAGGAGCCCAGCTGTGCCCCTTTCCTGGGGTTCAGTCCAGGCCCTCCCTGCCCCTGGGGGCTCCCTGTTGCCAGAAAGCTCTCGCAATAACAATGCCGTCAGCGTCCTCGCTGTCCAGGAAGGCAGCAGGCCAGCTCCTTCGCAGGCCCCGGAGTGGCTCTCGGGCAGACTCCAGATCCTTTCCCAGTCTGAGCTCCCCCAGGCACGCAGGCAGCCCCCGCGCCTGCACAGGCCCGGTGGGAGGCTTAGTTCTCCCGGGGCCAGCCGGTGCAGAGTGAGAAGGGGAACAGGGGAGCGACAACCACCTGTGTTGTTAAGTCCGCCTCCCCACCTGCTGTCTGCCCCTGGGGATCCTGTGCCCTTGGGTGTCTCGGGGCCAGTCCCATCACAGTGTGGGGCTGCTGGGTAAGAGGAGACAGAGCCAAGTCTGTGACAAGCTGCGCCCTGCGGGGAGGTCGTCTGGAAGAGGCCAGGCAGCACGAGGGATAAGATGAGGAGGGAAGCGAGGGGCTCTCTCTAGCCAGAGATGACTCGGGACAGGAGACCCTCCCCACTGCGGTCCAGCGGAGGTGGTGGGCCAGGTGGAGATGGTGGCGAGGATGGGAGGCGATGGAAATATTTGGGAGAAGCACTGGCTGAGCTTTTGGGCAGTTCTGGGTTTTTCCAACCCCAGAGGGAGGCAGTTGAGGAGTCATTTTGGAAAAAATAAACGCAAGAACCTTTCCTCTCTGTCAGCTGCCCGAGGCGACGCCAGCCCGGGGGCCCCGCCCCAGCTCGGGGAGCTGTGGGTGACGGACCCCACCTCGGACTCGCTGCGCCTCTCCTGGACAGTCCCTGAGGGCCAGTTTGACTCTTTCGTGGTCCAGTTCAAAGACAAGGACGGGCCCCGGGTGGTGCCTGTGGAGGGCCACGAGCGCTCCGTCGCCGTTGCCCCCCTGGATCCTGGCCGCAAGTACCGATTCCTCCTCTACGGCCTCCTGGGCAAGAAGCGCCACGGCCCCCTCACCGCCGAGGGCACCACGGGTGAGGGGCAGCTCCTGCAGGGCCCTACTCTGCTCCCCTCTCGGGCAGCTGGCGGTGACGTGTGGTGGCTGACATCACTGTCATTTGGCCCCAGCCACTCGGGCTCAGCTCCGGCTCCCCACACCCTTGCACAAGCCCCTAGCGCCAGCCCCATGGGACTCAGCCTGCCAGCCCTGTCTCCGTACCTCTCGGTCCTGCCCGTCGAAGTCACCCAGCCTTCCGGAAACGGCTCAGCCATTTCCTCTCCATGTCTCCATCTCAGAGGCCTGGAGTGCTGTGGATACTGGAACAAAGCATCCCCCAAAACCCCGTCTGGGGGAGGAGCTGCAGGTGACCAGTGTGACGCCGAACTCCGTGGGCCTCTCATGGACAGTCCCTGAGGGCCAATTTGACTCCTTTGTGGTCCAGTACAAGGACAGGGCCGGGCAGCCACAGGTGGTGCCCGTAGAGGGCAGTCTCAGGGAGGTCGGCATCTCGGACCTGGACCCTGCCCATAGGTACAAGCTGCTGCTCTACGGGCTGCACGGTGGCAAGCGTGTGGGTCCCATCTCTGCCATCGCCATGACCGGTGAGTGCAGCGGCCAGAACACGCTGTGCCTCCTTCCCACTGGCTGTCCTGCTCTGTGGAGCCGTAAGCTCGCTGCGCTTCCCGTTTATGCCATCTCCATTGACCCAAACAGTGTCCTTGTCCCATTTCCAGTCAGTTTCCCCACCCCAGCCTCTAGCAACCACTGATCTGCTTTCTGTCGTTATAGTCTTGCCGTTTAATCACATCGCATAACAATCTGGTGTTTGGCCTCTCGCACTTAGCATAATGCTTTTAAAATTCATCCATGTGTATCAAAATTTGGTCCTTTTATTGCTGACTTCTTGCCTTCATTCCCTCCCCTCCTCCCCTCCTCCCCTCCTCCCGAGAGTCTTGGTGAGTCGACAGACCAGTCATCCATCTCTACCTGTCTCTCTGAACCAGCTCCCAGAGAAGAAATCGAAGCAGAGACCGCAGCCCCCACTCCATCAGCATCTGAGCCCCACCTGGGGGAGCTGACAGTGGGAGAGGCCACGCCACACACCCTGCAGCTCTCCTGGGTGGTGACACAGGGAGAATTTGACTCCTTTGAGGTCCAGTACACAGATAGAGAGGGGCGACTCCAAGTGGTCGACGTAGGGGGTGACCAGAATGACATCACCCTCTCTGGCCTGGAATCCGACCACAGATACCTGGTGACGCTGTACGGTTTCCATGATGGGCGGCGAGTGGGTCCTGCCCACATTGAGGCTCTGACAGGTGAGAAGATCTCGGCCCACTCTACTTCTGTCCAGATGGCTGGGGGAGTCCAGAGGAGAGCAGAGTCCCTACGGACACCCTCCCCCTAAGTCCCCTCCCCATGTCTCTGTTCAGTCCCACAGGAGGAGGAAGATGAGCCTTCAGAACCACCCACGACGACCCCCGAGCCTCCCATCAAGCCTCGCCTCGGGGAGCTGACCGTGACAGACGCCACCCCCGACTCCCTGAGCCTGACCTGGACGGTCCCCGAGGGCCAGTTTGACCACTTCCTGGTCCAGTA